CTCTGACCTTCTCAAAGTTGAATCCACGGCTTAGATCTCAATCGGCGGCGACGACGTTACCGGAATGCTAAGACGGCGCGAGTCACGATTTTGGGTGAAAAATACCATTAAATAAATAATTAATGTAATAAAAATAACTAGTTACATGCAGACATCGTACTTGGTAACTTGCTGCAACTTCTTAATTGTAGAGAAATGTTAAATGAATAATTTCAAGCGGCAACAAGAACTTGAGGTGTTGTGATGGTATTTCTAAATATAGCCATCATTTTTTTTAGTTCAATGAAGTGACTATAAAACATTATCTTAATAAAAAAAATTGAAAAAAATGGTCAAATAATAATGATCAATAAAATAAATTATCATACTAAGCAATTGTAATTTTAATCTAATAAGCGTCATCAAATTATTACAATTAACAAGAAAAATTACACTTCAGCTATTTTTTAAATAAAAATATACCTACTATTTCATTTTCACATTTATCGAGCTAAAAATGTAATTTATACACGAGCGTCAAATATCAGTCTTTAAAAATCAACACCTGGTTATAATTAATATTTTATAATAAAAACTTTATTCGGCTAATAAACTGTAAATACCAAGTTTAAATGAAAATATAATTTGAGAATAAAAATAGGGGATTTTTGATATATATCACTACAGATCAGAAGGAATATATATAACCTTTTTATATAATTTTTTTTTGAATAATATATATCCTTTTATATTATTTTTTTTGTCTGTCCATATCTTCCCTGCACTTCGAGTACTAAAGAGTACATTCACCGTAGGCTTTGTGTTTAACAATTTAATTTAATGTTATTTTTTTGTTAATGAATTTCTTGATTCACAAGATTATTTAGAATTTCATGTGCGGTAAACTCGAAAAGACAAGATTATGAGCTTATGTCCGTTATTTTTACGAATGCGGTATGAATACATATTATATTCAAAATAAACTTACATTTAAAAAGTTTCTTTAAAGAATACGCGTGGCAGATTAATGATTTAAGATATGTGCGAAATAATTTGAAACATATCGCGAAAAATTATGGAACTAGTAGATATGTTAAATTACTAACAAAAATGGATTTTGTAAAAATCTTACCAGAAAACTTGCGATAATTTGGCATAATATAACTTAGTCTAGTGAAGACAAAAGTTGTAGAGAAAAAGCTTGATCCTTTTATTAATTTAAGTTTTATACTCGATTATACAATCTCTTAGAAGGTTTCAAGAAATTCTTCTATTCAATGTATTGTATTATTTTTTTAATGACATAATTTCTATTACTCTATCTCAATTTTATTTCCAAAAACCAGTTTTTCGGTGGTTCACTGATTTTTTGGGAACGTGCTCAAATGTCATGAGATGTGCTCCCGTAATTAGATTTTTAACCGTGAAATGAGATAAGAAATAACACCTAAATACAAAACTGGTCCTTATATGTGAGAATAATAAAAATTAAAAAGAAAGAGCACGATTCCAATTACAAACTCTTCAATTAACCTTCACTCGGCGAGTGGCTAGATAATATTAAAAATTAAATATTTACATTAGGGTGGTCCTCAATATGGACATTTTCGAATTTCCTTGCTCCCAAGGGCTCAAATGGTTCCAATTGATAAAAAACAATTCTCGGAAAGTTTTAGCCCTTAATATTGTCTTTTAGATAGAGCGCAATTCAATCAAAGTTTTGTATGGAAATAGCATGAAAATTTTTTCAAAATTTTTGCGGAGCGTCGAATTTTGAATAAAAAATGACACGAATTTTCACTTTTAATTCATTTGTCGCTAAGTTATACCTAACAATTTTTTTTTAATTTTCAAAATTTTCCATGTTATTTCCATACGAAGTTTGATTGAATTGCGCTCTATCTAAAAGTTAATATTAAGAGCTAAAACTTTCAGAGAATTGTTTTTTATCAATTTGGAGCCCTTGGGAGCAAGAAAATTCAAAAAGGTCCATATGGAGGACCACCCTAATATACATATACCTACAGTAGAGCCTCTTCAATAAAATCACTGTCAATTTCCCATATAATACGTATTTTAATTCAATTTAATCAAATTTCTCAAATTGTGTTTCTATGAGTATTCATTTGTGTGGTCTTTTTTCTGAAAACTGGTAGCCAGAAATATTAATCAACACTCATCAACAGAGTATAATTTCTTCAAATCTTCTTATATCTGGTTTTTGTCTTTGAGATATTCATCTGTCGGTTTTATTCACACGAAGCCGATTACTTGGAATGGTTTAAGAATTAATTAATATAATTAGTATTTTATACAATTACCAAAGGAATTTTTTTGGTGTGATATAATCGGAGTAGGGTATATGATGCTCGGAGTTAGATGGAAAACAAATGCATTTTTTTTACTGAAGTCCACATTTTGATTACAATTTATATATAAATATAAATATATATAAATAATATATATATATATATATATATTTAAAATTATATTTTAATCTAGTATTGTCATTATCATTTACCAGGTTGTTCTTTGAACAATCGCAAGCCGCTAACTAGAATTTCATGTCAGCTGTTTTCTGTCATATGGCGGGTGTAGATCAGGGCAGTCCAAAGATTCTTTTTTGATCATCCAGATATCAACTAAATCGTCCAAAAAATTAAGAACAATTCATTTAAAACTGATAACTATTCTTGACTTAGCATATGTTAAAAATGCAGCTTACATTAGCTAAGTCCAGAAGACATGTTGTTAGTCGCAAATATTCTAATGTTCTTCCACTCTTCACTCTAGTGCCTTGGTGAATTAGTTTTTTTTTTTTTTGGGTGTCCAACTGTTCATGGTGAATTAGTGTTAACTCATATTTGGCCGCCTCTAATATTTGCTAGAGTATGTTAAGTTGTTCTGATTTTTTTTACATAATATTTGTTCTAATAAAAATGATACTATTTCACATTCAGATTCAAACTACTTATTTTTGTGATGGTAGTTTCAAACATAATTCAATAATATAAATTAAAATATCAATAATATCCGCAGTCTTCCCAATCCTGGATGAATATTCTATTCGAGAAAATCGTTATGACAACTGAGACAACTTTATAAGCGATCATATTTTTCAGAAATGTAGCTAAGTGTTATATCAAATTACAAAAGTTCAATGTACTTGGATTTACTATCGTCATAATGATCTGCAAAAAAAAATTAGGTTTCAAATTTCCTCCAAAAAATTGCATATATCAATCAAGCATGTTCCAAATATTGTGCTAGGTCGGTTTATTGGAAAAAGATTTTTTTTTATTATTACTAAGCACATTCTTAAACGATATTACGAAATATCTTATAAAATGTAAACAAAGAATAAAAATCAGCTTTAAAAAAATGAATGTAATAGGCCTATTGATGTTATATTAACATTCTAGTAAAATTGTGGTCATTAGTGAAAAATGTATGGATCAATAAATTCATTCAACTTAAATTAGTCAAATTATTCTTTAGCATTTTTTTTTCGAATTTATTTGCTAAGATGCTGGCATCATCATTAATTACTGTGGCTGTTAAAAATAGAATTAATAATGGAATCATAAATAAAACTTAAGTTTTTTTAAAATTACAATTGAATGCACTTCTTTGAGTGCAAAACATTAAAGTATTAATGTTTTTCAATACTAATTTAAATATCATTAATACATAAATTAACGATTATGCCATCTATTTAACTCTATAAAAGTTGCTGATAAATCAACGCATAATTTACTTTTTTCCTACCGGCATTATTTAACACAAAGTATAATGCGTGTTTTTAAGAAGAAATCTTTGAATAATAATTAATATTGTATTAATTATCGATATGGATTATCGTGACAATTCTATTTAATAATCGCTTAATAACGCACCTGTGTCTGAGAAATTTACATTTTTACCGGTTCCTGTTTTGTGACAGGTAATATATGTGTAATTAGCATGCAAATAATCAAGTTTTGAACGGGGTGGTACATAACGGAAAAAATGGTTGAACATCGAGATTTTTAAAATATATTTAAGAAAATTGTTGAATATTTTGATTCCTTTTCTTAGTATTTTCATATTTTTGCCATCAGATACGGAATATTTACTCAAGTCAATGGAGCGTTTTGGGTCTGATTTTTTTTTACTGTGCTCCAATTCGTTGAAATTTTGAAATTAGGTCTATCTTACTCTCAAATTCAAAAGTGAAAATAATTTTGACTCCTTTGCCATTTCCCGGGGGGATGACATTCCTCTCAGTGGTGTAATTTCATTTTTTTTCAAAATAACGTCGGATATCGATAAAAGAACTAATTATAAGAAAAAATGTTTTATAAGATTTTTTAAAAAAGCAAATACTCATCATTTTATTTAAATCAGTTGTACATTTAAGATCCATATGGGTGGATGTACATACATTTTGGTATAGACTGTAGTAAACATAATAATTTTTAACTAATTGGTAAATATCAGTATAGGTTAATAAAAAAAATTGGAACTTTTGGATTGTAGACATGGGTACAGGACAAAGTCTTTCGGGTCATCTAGTTAGATATATAGATATAACAAATTTGAATATACAAACTGAATTTAACTATCCTCTCGAACTAATTGTAAATCATGTACCAGTTTCAAAAAAATGGCCATACAATTCGATAAAAAACTAAAATCAATGGAAGCCTTTCCTTGGATCCACGAAAAATCTGCCCATGTTTCGTAGGATATTTCTGATTTAACAATTTATAGTAGAAAAAACTTTCATTCTAAAATTGATTTTGTACTAGTTGCAATATAGTATATTTAATTTATATTTATTACATTGTTATTATTATTTGTGCTGATAGAGATCACCATCCATTGATCCAACATTATCAAAGAAAAACTAATCATGCAAATACAGAATGTATAGAAA